GGAGCCCCGCCTTGGTTAACGGCGGGCCCGTCGGCCCACTGCGGGCGCTGGTGGCTCGGCCGTCCCGGAGGGGCCGCCGCGGCGGGGGCGGCGATGACGCGCGGCGGGCAGGGCGGCCGGCACCCGGCGGCGGCGGCGGCGGCGGCGGAGGCGGAGGCGGCCAGGCCGCCGAGGGGGCGCCCTTCGCCCAGACCCCGATGCGGGCGGGCCGGACGGGCGGGGGGCGGGCTCTGCCGTTCCGCGGCCCCTCCCCGCGCAGCCCCGCGCCCGAGGCCGGAGCCGCGTCGGGGACCCGCAGGCTGTGAGCCTGGCGCTCGACTTGGCCTCAGACGTCTTCGTCATGCGGGTGCTGCTGGAGGATTCCGGGGAGGTGTTCCGAGTGACAGGCTGCCGCAGCGACATGACGGTGCGGGAGCTCAAAGAGGAGCTGGACCTAATAGCCGGCATCCCCTTCAGCCTCCAGCGGCTCCAGTACCTGGACCAAGGCGGCCCCTGCCCGACCCCGCGTACTCCCTCGACCCGGGGCGCCCAGTCCCCTCTGAACCCGCAGTCGGGGAAGGGAAGCCCGCCCAGAGGAGGACCCCCAGATGTCAAAACAAACCCCACCCCCGTGAAACCCCGGGTGGAAAAGCTAACCCCGGACACATAGGGACTTCCCAGCTCCAGAAAAGCCGAGCTTCACGTTAGACCTCAAATCTCCAGGCAGACCCTGTCCACAGCAAGACCCTAATCCGCAAGCAAATCCTGCCTGTGCTGGGACTCCAGGCCCAAAGCCAGCCGTCTAGTTTGGCCTGCCAACCTGAGCCCAACCCTGTGCACGTCAGGACCCCAAATCCCGAAACAGACGCTGCCACCGCAGGGCCCTCCAACACCAGAACATCAAACTCCCACGTCTTCATCAGGGACCCAAGTCCCAAAGCCAGCAGTGCCACACGAGACCTCCAGTCCGAAACGCCTGTCCTCAGCGGGACCTCACAACCTCGGGCAAGGCTGCTCACGTCAGGACCCAGATGGAATTAAACGTCAAGTCCCTGTGCTGGGCTGTGGGACACCAGAACCCCCAGCCCTCCAGCCAGCCACGTCCGTGCAAGGACCCCAAGTCCAGAACAAACCTGCCCAAGACTGAACCCCCCAATCCCCAGGCTAACCATGTGACCATCCGAACCCCAAGTCCTCCCAGCAACCGTGTAGACTCAAGGACACTAAAGCCTTAAGCAAACTCTGCCCTCCTCAGCACCCCACGTCTCTCCACGAACCATATGCACGTTTGAACCTCAGATACAATCCTCAGGTGACCCCGGCTCACGACAGAAACCTAAGTCCCAGAGCGTGAAGCCTACTACCCAGATCATGACCCTAGATCCCAGAGCAGGTACACCCGATTCTGAGCCCCACTCTGCTTAACCAGTTGTGCATCTGAACCCCAGTCCGTCAGCCATCTCTGTCTACGTAAGGACGCCAGGGCTCAAAGTGAACTCCTCCCACACCTGGACCCCCAAATTCAAAGTTAGCTCTGCCCACACCTGAAAGCTAGTTCCCAAGCTCACCATGACGACAGAAGAACCCGAAGCCAAGTGTCATCAGAAGGGCTCCAGGACATGAGATAAACTGCCCACACTAGGACCCCAAACTCAAGTCCAGTCTGCCCATATCTGAACCTCCAACCTCCACAGAAACCACGTCCACACTGGCACTCCAAGGTTTAAGCCAGCCGTATCTGTGTAAGGAAGCCAAAGTTCAAAACGAGCCTTGCCTACACGAGGGCCCCCAAACTCAAAGCAAACTCTGCTTGTATTTGAAAACCCAAATCCCTCATCAACCTGATCCACACCAGAACCCCCAGTGCCAGACCAAACCCACCTATATTAGGACTCCAAATCTCAGAGCCGAACCTGTCACTATCAAGACCCCCGAATCCTGGGGCAGACCTGTCTGATTCCTCACCCCCAGTTGCCACACTACCCAGGCCTACATCAGACCCCCAAATCCCCAAACAAGTCCTGCCCACAGAAGGACTCTGCACCCCAGAACAGACCCTTCCCATACCAGGACTCCCAGACAGAAAGCAAACCTTACCTTCATCAGAACCCCAATCCAGAGCAAACTCTGCCCTCATTGGGACCCCAAATCTCAAAACAAACCCTGTCCACGTTTGAACCCCGAATACTGGCACTGACCCAGTCCGTATCAGAACCTCGAATCTCAAGCTGCGCCCTTGTGACGTCAGGAGCTCAAAGCTAGCCCAATCGGAATCGAAACCCAGCGCCCAAAGCTCACTGTGACTGAATCAGGACCCCAAGGCCCCCTGTCCAGACAAATCCCATGGGGGAGGCACCCCGTGGTGGGCAAGGGCCCTAGAGCCCCATCTCTCCCTGCACCGGTCTCCTTCCCTCAGCCTGAGGACCTGGCTGTCCCGATCCGATCCCTACAGTATTTAGGATATGAGAACAGGATCAAAGTCCCCAGGCTCCAACATCTCCCCACCCAGTTGAAATCAATGCAAAAACACTTCAAGAAAACGAAGATATAAAAAACTCTCTGGTCTGCTGCACAGAGAAAGTGAACGGCCAATATTGCAGAGAGACTGCAGTTACACTGCAGGGACCGGGAAGCCATGGGGACAGAGGTCTGAAAGCAGCCGGTCTCCACGAGAATCGTGTTCCCAGGCCCTGCGCTTCCGGGGCTCAGTTTCCTAATCCGTAAAGCAGAGCCCCGTGAGCTCTAGGATTCTCAGTGCCGTGTCCCCCTTTAGGCAGAAGTGACTCGGGAGACTCAGAAGGTATATTGAAGGCCAACATCCTTTCCTTTGCCCTCTTGGAAATCGGTTAAGCATGTTTCATGAGGTATTTGCTTTGCTATAGGGGTATTTGGAAGATGCTTTGGAGCATTTTTGAGGCTTTATCGGGAAAGAGATGTACCTGTGCTTAATGTGTTAAAAGTGAAGTGAGCTATGGAAGAACTTGGTAAGAGTTCCAAAACAAGTAATTCGAAAATTACGTGTCCTGAACTACGGAGGTCTGGCACCCCTAATTTATTTTTGCCGATGAGCTATGCTGAGCAATAAATTCAAGAAAGCTAAGAGGGAATGAAAGGGATGGAGTGGCTTAACACTGAGGTCACAACCCTATCACTCATCAAGCACTTAGCAACTGTTAGAAGCTTGACCTCTCTCAAGCTTGGTTGCCGTCCTTACTGTTGACGGCAAACAAGAAGGGGAGAAGGTACACCACGTCAGTAGAAGAAGTTTGGGCTTCTGCTGATACATAACCAGCCTGATGCCTCTTTACCCACCTCAAAGGTTGCCAGGGAGGATCAAAGGAGATGATGTGTGTGAAAACCCTGAGAGACACAAGTCTCAAGGGGGGGGGGGTGAACATCTTCCTGGAGGCGGGTCACCTTTCCACATCTGTTGTCAACTCTAATAATTTATTTAGCCGGTGGTAATGAGTATTTGTCTAAGGTGAAGGTAGTTGCTGCCTGCCTGTAAAAGGAGAATGTGCTCTGATTTCTCTAAGAGCTGTTTAGCATGTGTGAACCGTGCTCTTGTGTTTCTCAGGGAAACACAGCCTTGCTCCATTTTTTTCAAAGTTGTTAGGAAGTCTTCGAGTTGTCTTACTTAGGCAAATTACTGATGATTCTCTGTGTTAGAACCACAAATAAGACCCTAATTAACAGATTTGCTAATCACTATTCCGCGTTTACATCCACCATCTGGAGTTGCTGGGGACCAAAGGGTGCCAACAAAATCTAGAGTGAGCATCACATGGTGCCCGAGGAAAGGCAGGTCTGGAGTCCCAGCATTGCCGTTCGCTGGCCATGCGAGCCTCCGTCCGCTCCTGCAGCACATGGAGAGGACGAACTTGGCTCGTCGTGAGGTTTAGAGCATGTGGGTGCTGGGTACAGGCACTTAGAAATCACTCAATCGTGAAACCAAAAAACTCATGAATTCTACTCGGAATAAATGATAATCCAACCTGGGCAGAGTTGAGAGGTTCCATTCTTGGCACTGCTTATTGGAGATAACAAATGACTCTGTTATCCTTCAGCTAGGTTACAGGTGGCCATGTAGGAAGAAGTAAAGTAAAAAGTAAACTAAAAACAACTGCATTTTTCTTAAAATTTTCCACAGTCCTCTTCTACTAATTCTGACGGTCTGCCCCAAAGGGTCTGAATTTAGGAAGTATGAGTGGATCCACCCCCCGACCCCCATTCTCTCATATGAGGAAGGGGCTGTTTGGGGAGAACCTCCCAAACAGAGAAAGGATCTCTTCCATCCCACGTCACTGAGATGCTTATGTTACCATAGGGTCTCCACTGGGGCAATTTTGTCTCCCAGGGGCCATTTGGCAACATCTAGAGACATTTCAGTGGTCACAATTAGGTGAGTGGGCTACTGCCATCTCGTGGGTAGAAGCCTGGGATGCTGCTAAACGCCCTGCAATGCCCAGGACAGACCCCACAGCAGAGGGGCATCTGGCCCCAAATGTCAGGAGTGCCAAGGTTGAGAAATGCTGCCACAGACTACAATTTGAAAGATCCGACAAATTTTTGTCATTATTACCTCTTTAAGCTAACTGATGATAACATTAACCAAAATTAGTTAGTATTTTAGTTTAACATCTATAACTTGTATAACCGCATTGCACCACATCTGTAATACACAGTTACTTCAAGTTCAAGTAGCTCTACTTACGGTTTGCCTCCTGAAATGACTTTTATTCACTCATGTATTTTTTTGCCATAGGTCAAGTTACAATTACAGAATCTTATAAATCGTTGCTTTTTTTTTTCTTTTTTTTTTTTGGTTTGGCTTCTCTTTGAGCTAAGCCAAATTAATTTTCTAAAAAGCATCAATAACCACAAACAGACGGATGTGGGGTCATCAAATGAGAGTAGCGCTCAAGGCTCTCAAATTATCCTTGTGATACCCAAGGTCAGGTAATCTCTTAACTAAACCAATGTAACAGTTTATCTTTAATGCCCGATTTTTCTTTTTAAAGAAAAAAATCATTCCCTGTAGGAATTTTGATGGATGACGCTACACTGAAGTGCCACGATGTTGTTCCTGGTGGAATTATTTCATTATGTATCTGGCATTATGATGGATGGACGGAACTGGTTTTGGCGGCTGTGGAAGGGGATTCCAGTAAGGTGTTTTCACGCTTCTTTAAATGGATATTATACTTCATGAACCAGCTGTAAATTGTGGACGTGTGTGTGGGGGGGGGGCGGGGGATTTGCTTAGTCTTTAGTATGAATATTTGGGTAAAAGTTTCAGAGTAGAGGAAAAAGACAACAAGGACTCATGTCATCGTGATCAAGTCGAGCGTTGCCATTTGCCGTTTGGCTCTTGCGATTTCACTGCGTCCACGTAGCTGTGACTTGTAACCCACTCACCGTGCCCCAAAAGGAGCCAGGGCGGCGCGTTTTCTATTCGTGTGTCTACTCTGTAAAGTTGAAAACCTAAGTTAACAGTGGAGAATGCCAGATCACTTGGAAACGTGTGGCCCAGAGTATTCAGTGCTGCAAAAAATCCTCTGGCGGGTCTGCTCTCACCCAAGGGGGAGAGGCTTGGAAACACAGTGGGTGCCGTTAACTCTTGGCCGGGCCTTGAGCTGGGCGCTCAGCTGGGCTCTGGGGTGGGAGTTGGAAGGCAAGAGGAGGAAATCAGGGTGTCTACCCAACAGTGAAGATGAATCATTCAGACACAAGGGGACAAGTGCACGTTCTTTCTGGAAAATAAATTCGGATGAGAAGCTATGAGCTTGTGGAGGAGAGAGAGTTTACTTCCGGCTGGGATGGGGGTCAGGGAAGGCTGGGTGTGGGAGGGGCGTTGGGATTAGGTCTGGGAAGGGGGAGTGGGCTCGGGGGAGGCGGGGCCAGGACCTGCTGCCCTGGAACCTGAGCCTTAGAAGGAAGGGCGGGGCCCATCCAGCTGTTTGCATAATCCTCTGGTTCCTTCCTGCTTTTCTCCTCTTCCCCTGCCTTCCCTTGCTTCCCCTCTGGCTCTGTGTCCGTGCCTGGACTTTCTGGCTCTTGCTCTGGCCATGGGTGATGGGTGAGTCCCTCCTCTCTTGAGCCAGAATTGCTGTCACCCCGCTGGGGGCCCCTCACATCCCGCTTCGCCCCACACCGGATGCTGCACATCTGCGACCGGGTTCCCATCTGTCGGAGCCCATCCGTAGTCGTCCTCCTGTGCTCAGAGCCTTAATTCTCCACGTGATGATTATATCCCGGGGCTGTTATTCACCTGGGAGCAGAGTTCAGAGTGTCCCAGAAGTTAATGGAGACAATGGGCCCAAAAATAGACCGGAAGGCCAGGATCCATCACATCTCCAGAGACGCCTGTGCCCCTCTGGGGAGGCCGTGCCTTGTCGGCTGGGGTCTTCCTTCAGAGCCGTAACCCCCTTCCTCTGGACACCCAGAAAAGCTATTTTCTCTCTTCAAAACATGGACAGGAAGAATTTCCTGCCTCCCGAGCCTGGCTGATGGTAAATTCGTATTTCCTGGACGTGTAGAGAGAGTTACATGTCTTCCCCTGGCTCGTTTCCAGTTTCTCCGCTCTCTGATCCCATCACCAGCCTGCGTGTGGCATCCAAGCGAACTTTTCCTCCAGAGTGTGTCCCATCACCAGTGTGTACCTGCACTTCTGAAATCACCCAGACTCACGTGCGTAACTCTGTTTCCCTCGCCCAGCTGTCTTGCCTCGGTGTTGCCGAAGATGCTTTCTACCGAACAACAAATCCGCGGCATTTTGATGACAAGCAGTGGAAGAAGTGGATTTCTCAGAGAGTGTTCATGGCGCTATATGTTGCCTCACACAGGCGTCGCTCGGAGGCTGTTCAGTACCTTCTAGAACACGGTAATTCTGATAGCAGCTGAGGACATTCAAGAGTGGGGTTCTTTTGAGGGCAAGGGGGACACAGCGGCTTGCCTCCTGGTCCCTTCAGTAATGGTTTCCTGGACCCAAGTTTGTCAACCACCAATGGAGGTCCCCATCGGGCCACTCAATCCCTGTCTGAGGGGGTCTTTGGACATGCTTATCGGAGGCTGTGTCCTCTCTCTTGGCAGGGGCTCAGGAAGATGGACCTTTCAGGACACCAAGCCACAGGGCTTCCTGGTTTATTGCGTCCGACCAGACACTCCGCTGGGGATATTCCCATCCTGTTTGTTATTTCTTCCCACCCAAAGTCCCGTTTCTGCAGTGGTCCGAGGGGTCGAGCCCCAAACCAGCATCCCTGCCTTGGTGGTTGGCAGGCTAGCCAGTCTCCTTTCTCCAAGCTCTTTGAATTTGCCCCAAACCCTCTTTTCATCTCTCCTCCACCAAAGGGCAATTACTCTCACTCTCTCTGTCCATAGACATAGGAGCCTTAGCCTGCCTTGTCTCCGAGTTCAAGGGCTTTGCATGAGGTTCTGTGGGAGCACATTTTATCTTCCCTGGATGTAGAGTATTTTTGGGAAAAGAGGCCCACTGATTGAGGTGTAGACCGTTCACCAACAGTAGACAGTTGCAGATATCCCAGGCCACTGGCTTCCTCGGGAAAAAGGAAGAATGTGGTATTTGGTCAATGGTTTAGAGCTCAGGAGGGGGCCTCATCTGAGGGTTTCCCATATCAACTAGCCTCCAAGTTAGACCCCTCCTTCCCAGCCTTCGGCCTTGAGCCCAGGCTCTCTGTGTTGTTTCCCCCACTTCCACCAACCAAGCTGGGAAAGCATCTCAGATGCTCAGGCAGGATGCTGGGGCCGCACGTCTGTGATGGGTAGAGGTTTTTCTGACTCTCCTCCTCTCCTTCCTCCACTGTTTTCTGCACTTCTCCTGTTGTAAGATGAAATATGGGCTTTTCACAACCCAGCAGTCCGTTAAGCTCATAAAAAGTCATTTTCCCTCTGATGGAACTGTGATGTATTTGAAAGCACCAGTTAAAAAATTACAACCAGCTTTGCAAAGTTTTCTGTCCTTTGCAGACAGTGGCTGTGAAGAGGCGCCGGGGCTGAGCCTAACTGTTGTGAAAACCTATTTAAAACTACCTCACTGACCAGCCATAGCTCATAAACACTGGCTCCCGAAATGTCAACTGCATGTAATTGAATTGCCTTGTTTTCTGTGTCATGATATCTGTTACCCACTATTTGATTCAATTCAACAAGTCCGTACGGGACACCTGTCATTAGCCCATCCATCTGTAGGAGGCAGTGAGGAATTCAGTGGAAGTGAAGTCTGTCCATGAGTCAGGCTGCCCATCATCTGTCATTTCCCAGGCGCCTGTCTTCTCCAGGCATCGTGCTACGTGCCGGGGATGAGGACAGCCGCGATCAAAACAAGTGTGTTTTCTGCCCTTGTGGAGTTTATGAAGGGACGTCAGCACATTATTACAAACAATTAATTCCATGGTCAGTCGTGCATGGTGTGTTCTGGAGACGCAGAATGTCTGCTGAACAAATGCAGGGGGTTTTGTGGGGAGGAGGGCTAAGGAAGGTTTTCCCGAGGAAGTGAATGAAACCTCAAGAAACAGAGTTAGTTCAGGAGAAAAAAAAAAAGGATGAGAGTGTTGTTAGCGAAGGGAATGGCATATGCAAAGATCCTGGGGCAGGATAAGGGAGCAGGTATACTGACGGGATAAAGCCAGAAGGCTGGTGTAAGCGGAGCATGGGCGGGCGAGGAAGATCACGGAGGGGAGTAATGCTGGAGTGATAAGGGGGGTGGGTGGGTGAGACAGAGCAGTGAAGACCTAGAACATCGCCCCAAGGGTGGTAGATGCCAACAATGGGATTTGAGCAGGAGAGTGGTACAGGCATTGTAGGAAGGTCATTGGCTGCTGTAAGAGAAGCATGGGGTGGAGTGGGGTGGGGGGAAGGCAGTGCTGGATGCTGGGTGGGAGGGGGGAGATGCAGCAGTGCCCGGCTCCGTGCACTCGGTTATTCGTTCTTCCAAGCATTCCTTTCCCAGCCTCGGCCCTTCCCATGCTTCCCTTCTTGAACGGGTTTCCAGAGGGTTGGCTCCTGCCGGCAGGGGGCCCTCCCTCAGTCAACTTTCTCATTTCCCAGGTGCCAACTGTCAGGGCAGATCCCCCGTGGGCAGGACGCCCCTGCACGTGGCTGCAGCCATGAGCCGGCTGGACTGTATCAGCCTCCAGCTCAACTATGGGGCCTCCATCAACGACAGAGATACCAAGGGGGAGAGGCCCATGTCCTTCGCCTGCCGCCTGAGCCGCAGCCAGAGCAGGCGGCAGATGTTCCTCTTCTACTGGATGGTGAAGCTGGGGACAAAGGACCCGATGGACCCTGTCTTGAACAAGGCTTTTCAGAGAGTCAAGGCCGGGTTTGGATCCAAGAAGGAGAACAAAACATAGCTCCACCTGGGAATGTTTGCATGTCAGCTCTGACTTGGGGTAACGTTCCTGAGTTCAGATCCACGGTGGCCAGTGGCCCTGGGTTAGCAGGAAGGCCGGGAAACGTGGCAGTTCCTCTGAATCAGATACGAAACCATCTGTCCTATTTGCAAATGACTTGAGGAGGGTATTGATGGAAGTGGGTGAGTTTGTGTTCATTTCCTAAATCCATCACAGACCTAATGGGCTCCCATGCCAGCCTTTAATTTTGAGCTATTTGTTCATTGTATCCAGTAACGCTGCTTGGGGTGATGGGAACCAATTACCTTCTCTCCGGTCTGGACACCATCTAACACTTTGGCATAATAGGGGTAATAGCCGTGATGAGAGTAGCTCTGTTGTTACGGTACAAAACCAGCGCAGGCAAACGTCACCAGGTCGTGGGCAGTGTGACCTGTGAATTTCAGTTTGTAAAATTCATGGCACTAGATGCTCCCTAAGCCAGCAATGTTCCAGAAGTTTTCCTGAACCTTCCTGGAGGGGTCTGCTGCCTGAGTCTGAGGTGGGGCTGGGGGGAGAAGCCAGGCTGACCTGGGGGGCATCTAAGAGCTTGGTTCTCCACAGGGGCGCCTGGTTACTCTTGGTGAAAGGTGATAAGCTGGCACTGGATTTGGAGGAGACGGTGTGAAAGGTGATGAGCTCGTAAGGGAGAGGATTCGAGCTGGGAGCTTCTTTTTTCCTTTTGTCCCATCCCCAGAGGTCCAAGCACCCCCCTCCCGCTAGCTTTCTCCTTTCCTGCTAGAACTGGGGTAGCTCCATGGCTCACGGGCCCAGCCGCTCCAACGGCATGTGGGATCTTCCCGGACCGGGGCACGAACCCGTGTCCCCTGCATCGGCAGGCGGACTCTCAACCACCGTGCCACCACGGAAGCCCTAAGTCCTGATTTTTAAGCGTTGGCTTGAATTATGTTAAGGTCAGCGTTCGGAACAAAAGAAGTAGGAGATTTGAGGCACATGGATGGGACTGCCGACCATCGTCAAACTAACTCATTTCACTGGGGAAACGGGTAGAAGCAACCTAAGACTCACTGGAGCTCTCCCCGGCTCTGAAGCCACAGGGCGGGAATGGCCATGAGTGTTGCCGGGTGGGAAGTGTTGTCCACCCTTCCACCCGTGGCCACACATGTTCCTCTGAAGCCCTATATCCTGACACAGCTTCCGGAGTCAGTCTGTGTGGCAACAGTCTCTCGACCGTTGAAGTTCTGTTTTTTAAGGTGCTGGAAAATGGCCCTGTATCCCAGCCGCCCTTCTTTCTGACTTACATCCCAAGAACTGGATTCCGCTTTTACATTAATTGGCCGCATTTCCCGCTGTCGTGGCAAGTAAGAGCCGTGCTGGTGACGTGGCTTTACACTCAGTGGACGTGGCTGGACCCAGCTCAGCAATCTGTTTGACAAATAATAATCAGGAAAAAAACATACAGCTCAGCATCAACAATATCAAAACTGAGATCTTGTTTGGGGCAGACGTTCTCCAAAGTCAATAGGTAGATATTAAATAACCTTATCCAGCAGGGTCAGTTCATTTAGCTAATGAGGTGTGTTGGCAGGGGGACCTGGGCACCCTTTTAACTTAACAAGTGGTGTGACTCAGAGTCATGTGTTTTCCGGGAGCTTTGCTCTGCTGTCTTTATTGTTAGCAGAGCCAGCTGCCTGACATTTGTCCCCAAAACTTTGGAGGGAAGCCCTCTGTCTTTGTCACCCCTAATTCAGCTAAACACTTGGCCGGCAATTGGGTGAGTTCCAAACTCTCCGTGGTGACATTTTGCTCGGTCTGTGGCAGGGTCATTAAAACAGTCCTGTAGGTCCTGGGGGCTCTTCCTTTTAGATGATCTTAACATTCTAGCTGTTATATTCAAACAAGCCTGTATCACCTATTCAATAAAATATGTCCATAGCCTCAGAAGAGTTGATTTGCAATTGGTTGCCATCATCTTACACTTTGCAGAAAATTTCATTCAACATTTGAAGTGTTTTGGGGTCATGCTTTGGAGCCAACAGACATTTTTTTTTTTTAATTGCGGCATAGTTGTTTTACAATGTTGTTTTAGTTTCTGCTGTACAGCAAAGTGGAGTTCCCTGTGCTATACATCAGGTTCTCATTGTCTATTTTATACATATTAGTGTCCATTTTTTTTAAAGGGGTTGATCTCAAACGGTTCTGTAGGACCCTGAAATCTTTTTAGGCCCGAGGTATTGGGGATGGTCTTTTGTGGTGAAGCAGCAGTGGTCTGCCATCACCCAGGTGGGCCTCACCTCTGCGTAGAGAGGGACGGGCTTCCTCTCGGAAAGGAGCTACTGTCAGTCGTCTGAGTATAATATCCATCTCCCTCCTCCTTATTGTGTATCTCCCATGAAGCTGGACTCTCAGTTGCCAGAGTGGAATTGCTACTGGGGTAGTGTGGACATACAGGGCTTGGATCCCAGATTGCATCTTGGTGGCTCTGCCCTGTGGCCTTGGGCACGTTCCCTACTGCTCTGAGGTACAGGAGGTTGGAGGGTGGTCATGGTGCCTGGTCCCTAAGGTTGTTGGGAGGGCCTGGGAAGTAGGAGGTACTCAGTACGTGCTAGCTCTTCTCATCTGAGAGCTTGACTGAAGAGTCCTTCTGAAGTCAGGGGCTCAATTGTTGATGATCGACGGGGGATGGGGGCAAATAGGAGAACCATTTGGTGCCTTCCTTGGGTTCTCAAGTTCCGATCACCTTGAGACTGATGACCTCTGAGCTCAGTGCCCCCGGGAAAGTGCTGTGCAGCGTCCTTGGATTTCTTGGCGGCCACGTGAAGAAGGATCCCTCAGCATCCCCTCCGTCAGGGACACTGCTCACCAGTGTGCCTTATGTCAGCCTGGAAAACAGCCCTTGGGAACCGGGGAGCCCCTCTGGAGAGGCCGACCGCTCGCTCAAGGAAGACGGTGACAGCTGCACCTCCACCGTGCTTCCATCTGCCTTGGCTGTCCCTCTGGACCCCTGGCTGCCTGGGGTCTCTCAGCTCCGCCGAGGGCTTGGGTGCATGGCCGTCTCTCTCCAAAGACTCATCCCGGGGGGTTTCAGCTGCACTGAGTCCTTCCTCCGTCTCAGGCCTGAACACTCCCTTCTCTGAAGCATAGTCACCAACCAGACTTTCCCAGGGAGGCGAAGGGCACCCACTGGTGGCACCTCAGGGGACTTTAGTTGGCCCTGACGCTGAAGTAGGTGCCACTGAAACATAGGGTGAGAGTTATTCCCTTTTCACATCGCTCTCAATCCTTTTAATTCCGACAAGAGGAAAGTCTCCGCTTGGTGTCAGGAAGTCAGACTCCCCCCTGACCTTTGCGAAAAGGGAGCTTTTATAAGATACACAAATAGAGCAGCCTTCCGCAGGCAGCAGTGTTTTGCCAGGATTTAATAACATCGTCTTGTTTTCAGTATATTTGTGGGCTGGGATTCTTTTCCTTTTTCCACTCCTAGCCAGTATGTGACCTCGGGGCAAACTGTCACCTCCACAGGGACCCCCATCATCTCCCTCTCAGCCCAGTTGCGATGAGCAATGTGAATTGTCCTCGGGAAGGGCCCGGGCTTGGCGTCCAGCAGATCCCATTTAGAATTTTCCTCCCCTGCTGGCTGGGTGGCATTGGGCCAAGCAATTGCATCTCTCAGAGCCTCAGTTTCTTCGTCTGTAACATTCGGGTAATAAAATCTGCCCCTGTCATCGTGGGAGGGATGAAATGCCTGGCACAGAGCAGACTCTTGAAAGATAGTATCCATTATTATTATTATTACTACCACCAATTAATTTGCTTAAAATGTTTACTCACTGGGAATCAATACACTCCCGGTGTCCAGAGAGCCTCATGAATTTTCAGCAAACCTTATACAATGAGAGTCTCCATCCAGAGCTAACCATTCCTAGAGTGGGAGAGAAATAATTTCCCTGAAACTTGTGGATTTTAGTATTAAGTACAGGGTCCAGAAAGTCGTTCTGAACTTAAAAATCCAGGGCCAGTTCTGCAGGAAAGAGAGAGAGAGAGAAAAGGAAAACAAAAGCTCTAAGGTGAGAGGAAAATTCCAGTCTCTCAGCTCTGCCTCTGCAGTGCGTACTGACTACACGAGCATCCAGTGGAGGGCACAGAAACCCATTAACATTTAGAAAAACACCCGCTGTTTGTGCTCACCAGAAATGTCAGAGCTGCGGCAGTCTGCGCCCCACTGGAAACTCAAGAGTGGGGCTCAGCCACAGGGACAGCTTCTGTGCCTGAACCCCCGAAATTGTCCACAAAGCACACATTTTTCTGGGGAGAACATTCATCATGTCCTGTGAGGGTCCGTGGATCCCCCAAACCTGGGCACGTAACAGGTTGTCAAATCAAATCGATGCATCAACTCAATATCCCCTTCTACCCCTTGGGTGGGTGTGCATTGTCAATTTGTGATTGGAAAAAATGATGAATACTGATAACACCTGGTGCTGATGTGCGTGTATGCGTGTGTACACGGGTGCCTGGGGCACGGCTCTCTAGTGCTGTAGAGGGGAGCTTGTAGAGTCCTGTAGCCTTGCCGGGCTTCGATTGGACGGTAGGTGTTCAGAAGGCCCTGCTACCCCACTTTGTAAGTCTGTCCCGCAGAGATGAAGACCCACTCCGTGATGGCACGCGTGTGCAAGTGTTCGTGGTAACTGTTTCTGGTGGCGAGTGCCTGGAAACACTCCAGATGCCCACCGCTGGGAAAGATGGTGGCACGCTTTGCAGCTATTAAAAAAAATGACTTGATCTGTATGTCCAGGCCAAGGGACAGCCGCGAGGGGTGTCTGTGACGTGTCATTAAGTGAAAAACGGCAAGTTGCCTAGGAAATGCGCAGGAGCTCATGGAGTCACAGTTCTAAAAAGGAGGCAAATCTAATACATGGGCGCATAAGCACATTCTTATTTGAGCAAAAGAAGAATTATGTCAAAGACCCTTAAACTCTTAACATTGCTTACTTTGGGGCCGCGGGGTTGCTCTACATAGCTCTGAATGATCACAGCCGGCCTGTCTTTTCTTTCTTTCTTCTTTTTTTTTATGGTGGTAAAATACACATAACAAAATCTGCCGTTAATGACATTTAGTGCATTCACAGTGCTGTGTAACCATCACTCCTATCTAGTTCCAGAACATTTTCATCACCCTAGAAAGAAACCCTGGACCCAGTAACAGTCCCCCTGACCTTCTCCCTCCCCCCCAGCCCTAGACAACCACCAACCAATCCACTTTCTGTCTCTGTGGATTTGCCCCTTTCTGGATACTTCACATAAATGGAATTATACAACATGTGGCCTTATGTATCGGCTTCTTAGGGTGATGTTTTCTGGGTTCAGCCACATGGTGGCGTGTATCAGTGCTTCATTCGTTTTTATGGCTGAAGGATATTCCATCGCTTATCCATTTGTCAGTCGATGGACATTTGGATTGTTTCCACATTTGGACCATTGTGAATAATGCTGCTATGAACATGGGTGTATAAGATTTGTCTGAATACTTGTTTCTTTTGAGTACATACCCAGGAGGGGAATCCCTGGGTCATAAAGCAATTCTGTGTTTAGCAGCATGTCCTACATTTGTAACTAAAAAAATAGGAAAAAGGAAAAGATGCGAACCCACCTCCCACCTGAGCTCTCCAAAGTTTGAGAATCACAACAATCATTTATTGAGCAATTATCCCGGGCCAGACATTCTGCGTGAATTACCTCATTTAATCTTTTCAGTAATCCTGAGGGCCAGAGGTTTTCAACCTTGAGCGCAAATCAGTCCCAGGGAGTCCTTATTAAGACACAGATTGCTGGGCTTTGCTGCCCGAGATCCTGGATTAAGTAGTTTGGGGGCAGAGCCTGAGATTTCTGACAAATTCCCAGGGATGCTGGTGCTGAGTGGCACTGAGCATGGTCTAGTCCATCCATGCCCGTCTTTCATTTGAGGAAACTGAGGCTCAGAGAAGTCAGCAACTTGCCCAGAGTCACACAGCATGTAAAAGGCAGAGTGAGAATGCCTGACCCTAGACCATGGTTCTAAGAAGCACCTGACAGTATTAAACTTGCCTGATCACAGACCACGATCCTTCTCCAGGGGTGAACCAGCCGGCCTGGGAGGACTTTCTGGCGGCTGTGACCTCGGTTACCTCTCTAAGGGCCCGCTTGTAAAACGCAGAAAATACTGGCACTCTCTCGAGGCACCGCAGAGGTGCCCACCCAGAGCCTCACCAGGACGGACCACGGGGCTGGGCACCACCAGGCAGCACAGAACGCAGGATGCAGAGCAGGTAATCAGACCCCACCGACACCCCCTCCTCCTTTCGGCTTGTATCAGAGCCTCAGCAAGACAGGTCCCTGGGGGGCCTGAGCATTTTCTTCCAATCTCAGTCTTTGGTTTAGAAAAAGGACTCTCTCCAGGCCTCCCAGGGTCAGCTCGAGGGCGCCCGCCAGGTGGCGCTGCTGAGCGCTGCCGCCTCAGGTGGGCGGACGCGGCGGCCACCAGGTGTCGCAGCGAGACCGCGGATGGACTTGGTGCGCCCGAGAGTTCCTTACATCCAGACGGGAGTACGTCCAGAGCCCCCTGTGCAGGTTGTAGATCCTGCTGCATTTAATTTTCTCCTCTTCCTTTAGACATTATACCCCAAGGACTTTCCATTCGATTCTTTTATGCTGTTTTGATCTTTGCATAAGATATTTTTTAAAGTAACTATGTGGGTAGTATTTTCACATAAAATTAATGGTACAAGAATTTTAGAAAGAAATACGGCCCCCCAAAGACTCTTCCTCCAGGGGCTCACCAATGGTCTTAGGGTCAGGAATAAGAGCCAGCCAGCTTTAGAGATAAATTTTATTTTTTTTAACCCCCCAAAGGGAGGAAAAGTCTAGGACCTCCCTTGCAACTCTCATGAATGTTTAATGTCTTA